AATCATTACTGCCATTAATCTTCTAAATAAGTAAACAGCAAATTGTCTGTCCATCCGTGTGTCTAAAACTCATCTAACTCTGGCCACACTTACTCTACATAGACATATTGTGTTTTTTGGAATCAGGATTATACCAGGATTTAAAATCTGGCCTTCATCTCGTGCTTAAATATCTAACATTGGGATATATGTCCAGATGAGGAAGAAATAATTAAAAATTCAAATTTTAAAATGAATGGAAAAAAAAAAATTTAGTGATTCTAAGTTTTTAATTTATATTAAGTTTAAAGTAACACAAAAACTTTGAATTTAATTTTTTTTTTATTTTAAATTAAGTTTACTTTTTGAATTGAGGAAATCAGTTTTATTTCTTTAAAATGCCAAGGAATCAGAGTTAAATTTTTTGTTTCGTTAAAATAATGTATACAGTAAAATAATAGATCTTAAAAAAAAGTCGATTATTGTTATTTTGTAGTACTGTACTTTAAAAAATAATACCAGTTTCTTCATAAGTCATTAATAGTGGAATTGTCTCTTGATTCCTCCCCATAACATGTTAATGTGCCAGACTTAGCAAAGATTGTTGTATTGCTATTGTAAATAAGATTTCTACTGTTTTTGCAATTATAAGATAGAGTTTGACTTTAAGCATGTTATTATTCCAAAATTTATACATATGTCTTTCATATTCCATGTCACTTCAGGATGTGGTCAATCATGGACCTCCAAAACTTCCTGTCATATTTTTTTTTTGCTTTGCTATAAATAACTTTTGAACATTTAGCATTCTTGCTCAGTCGTACATTTACATAAACTTGTTTGGTAGATCATTAACCATTTCCCCTGTCCTGTGTGTGTTAAATTCTCTAATGCCTCTTTCCTTATTTTGAGTTCCAGAAATTTCGACCATCTCTTTCTGATCCCAAGTATGTGTCTTTTTCATTCACATTTTCCTTAAGACTTCCTTATAGCTCACATGTTCAGTCAATGGTTTTATTAACATCCTTCTGTGAAGAAATTGTCTAACATTCACTGCCATATAGGAGATTGACATTACATAACAGTTAATCAATCCACTCTTTGGTTTTAACAAAATTTTCTTGTTGCTTTATACTTTGTTTAGCCTCCGGAAGGCATCTTTCACTATTTTAAGCAATTTCAGATCTATTATGACACTCATTTTCTGATTGTAAGTATCGGATCGTATTTTCATTAAAACCTCCTTTTTGCTTAATTTTTTTTTTTAATTTAATTAATTTTTTTTTTTGCATGTGTCTGTGATACACTATTTACATTATTCGGACTATTGTCCTCATCTTTATTACAATGTTTCAGCCCTTGTATGCTCCGGCACTCTTCAGGTGGTTGGAATGTCAAACTGGACCCTTTATTTCGCTCACTGGGGTAGACTGTTCTAGTTCCATGTGCCATGTTTTAATGGATGACAATTATCAGTTATCCACTGTGCCATGTATCCTCAAGGACACATGGCATAGTGGATAAAGACGTTGGTTAGATCCAGTGACATGACACAAAGAGTGTGAGTTCAATACCTGGTTAAGGCAGTGAAGAACTTCGAGTGGGGAATAAACAGGAGATAACTGATAACTAATATCCATTAAACATGGCACGTGGAACTAGAACAATCTACCCCAGTGAGCGAAATAAAGGGTTCAGTTTGATATTCCAACTACCTGAAGAAGGCCAGAGCATACAACGGCTGAAACGTTGTAATAAATATAGCGACAAAGATGAGGACAATAGTTCGAATAATGTAAATAGTGTACATAATACCTCATCTCAGAAATATAGACAGATTCTGTCTGTGATATTCTGAGCACATGTTTGTATAACGATAAGTCTGTTCTTCATCTCTGAGATTGTCCAGCATTTACTGCTATATGGTAATGTAATGGCAGGCTGCTCAGTATCCTAGTATGCCTGTTGCAGGTGCCTGCTCAGGCACATTTATGTTTGTTCAACACCCATATTGAGTGGACATTTGTTAGGTCATTTCTTATGTGGGATAGTGCAACCAAACTTTCCTTGAAAAGCATCAGTGTTTTTTAGTTTTGGAAACAGGGTCCCAATTAGACAGAAATGGGGGTGATATGTCAGTTCTTACTGATTTATCACAGCCTACGAAGTTGATAGACAAATATTGTTCTCCTCTGGCTGTAATCATCAAGGCCACATTCGTGAAAGACAGGTTGCTGAAAAAAATAAATAAATAAAAAGTCTACTCAAACACATGTACTTGCCAAATATCATTTCAAGTTACTTTCTGGGGGGTGCCTTTGCTGGGAAAGTTTCAATTAATATTAGCTCAAGCCCTAAGTGGGGTCATCCTTCCAGGAGTGGGCTGGGTTTATTGCCCAATACCTGAGGTGTCTCCAAAAGGGGAAGTATCAAAGGGGCTTGAGCAATTTTTCCACAGTATTTTAGAAAAACCCACTTCAAACTGACCTTGTGTCTCATTCGGAAGTGATGTGGACGCACTGAATTTTGCACTGTTTACTCTAATGCACTGCATGTGATTGACTCCTCTACTCCACCTTGGCAGCATGATTTATAAGCAATTAAATGATTTTTTTTTTTTTTTTTTATCTGACACCATTTCTTATTACTATAAATGTTATATCTAACAGGTATACATGTTTGAGTAGACATTGTTTGTTTTTTTTATTTTTTTTTTATTTGAACTTTAAAAATTCTTAAATTCCCAAAAAACTGTTCTAAGAAAAAAGTTTTATATAAATTTTAACTTTACAGTCTATTTGCATGTCTAATTTTTTATCTGTCATCTGTATCCATATCTTGTAACAAGGATATGACTAGAGAGTAAATTGAATAAGTCTGGTGAGAAGACACATCCTTGCTTTATGCCCCTTTCTATTTCTGTGTATTTACTTGATTCATTCAGTCCTGTTTTATACAGAAATACACAAAGTAGGGATGCTACAGAATCAGTAGCCTGTGAGATAAGCTTGATAATCATCAGTACACTGCAAACACTTAGGATTCAATAGGTTCACCTATCATCCAGTTCACACTCCTCCCCAGTCTTTTGAACAAGAGTAGAGGTTTATCCTGTTTAGGATTAGGTTTCTGGTTCTTTCTAAAGTCTACTTCAATGTCTGCCTAAATTCTGAAATCTTATTTACTATTTATTTTTTTTTCCTCAATAGGGGTAGATAAGTTCCCCTATCGTTCAGTTCACACTCCTTCTTGGTCTTTTGAACAGAAGTAGAGGTTTATCCTTGTTTCCTGTTTAAGATTGGGTTTCTGGTTCCTTCTCCTAAAGTATTTTCATTCTTTTTCACTCCCTGTAGCCCCTTGCATGTTAGCAGTATTATCACCTTGGGTAGGGTGAATTGATTAAAAAAAAAAAAGACAAGACGTTAAAGAATTTCAACTTGCAGCTGATATTGTTCTTCTACACTCTTTCCAAACTCTTGTTGTGGGGGTACCGTCTCTTGTTATAGCAGCATCTAAATACCTGACTGTTGGCACTGATGATATTATTATTTTTTTCCTGAGCTGACTTCTATTCCATCTGAATTAAATCTGGCTACTCATCTGTCTGTCAGGTCATGGTGCTCATTGTAACTTCTACCTTAGGATTGATGTTGCAGACAAACTAACCTGCCCACCTCAACCAAATAATATAGCAATGAAATCTATAGCTTATATTGCCTTCTGTTAAAGCACCCCCCCCCCGCACAAAAAAAACAGGACTCTGACTGCAACATTTTTGTAAGCAGACACCATTTATCTGGTAAAATTGACAGAAATTCTTCAATACAAATCTTATAAAACATTTTTCATCAGGGTTAATTACATACAGGGACCATATTTAGCTTTGGTGATGACAAGGTGGATGGATATTATTTATTTATTCTTAGTATCATAAGATCAACTTTTAATTTAGGTTGATTTTTTTTTTTTTACTGTTTGGATTATTTATTTCATTACTAGTTCCATTTTACAGTCTTTGGTTGTTTAATTGCAATAGAAAGAAGGGTAGCATTACCAGTTGAAGGAACAGAACTACTAATTTTAGTAGCACTCTGCTTTCAAATGTAGCCTAATTTGAGGATGCATCCCCCGCCACAAACGTTCAGTGTCCACTAATCCTATAAAACAAAACCAATATTTCCAATATTGGTAAATAATCCATTAAACATACCATTCGGATTGCACTGCTGAGAAAAATCTTAATATGGATCAGGTGGTTAGATTCCTAGTGTCTCAGCTTCAGTCACTTTTTCATTGCTGTAAAGTCGATTCCACCGTGCATTTTCTATAAATACTTTCATGGCAATTGTTAGAATGAGATCTTTGCGATGGTACCTAGACTTTAATTTAAAATGAATTTAAGCACCGTACTGGATTGGCAACAAGGTCTCATCAATTTACAGCTGAGTTTGCTAAATGTAACCATATATTTTTTTTTTTTTTGCACTTTTTTCTGGCTCCATCCTTTCCAGTTAACTTTGCATTTAAAAATTTTTTGATGATCAATGTTAATTGTTATCTATTATCTTCCTGATTACACTTCTATTGTTCTTGCTTCTTAGTAAGGTTTCTGTTCTCTAATTTTTTCATACTCAGTAAGCTCTTTATTGCCTTGCTTGGGAGGAATTTGCTTTAAAAAAAAAAAAAAAAAATGAATGAATTCAATAAAATTAAAAAAGACTGTTGAGTCTCAGAGAAATGCATTTTTTTTTTTTTTTTGAAAGATTCATTGTAGATTTCATTAAAATATTCTAAGACAGACAGCATAAGGAATTTAATCGAAGATATATTTGGGGTCTTTGTACATATAAAACTGAAGCCGAGGTGGAGGGGGGGACTTTTCATCTTGCCTTTTTTCTTGAATAGCAAACGTTTCTATTGGAGAATCCCACCCTCTTGCCTCGGCTGAGATCACATTATATGGAAAATTTGGGTAGGAAATTTATAAATTCATCAAAGGAATGTAAATCTTGAAGAGTGGGTTAATCTGACAAACGATTTTTTTTTTTCTTCTTGTTTTCAATTTGCTGTTCCAGGAATTGGATGTAGATTTTCTTTTGTGGACTTGACGAAGGCAGGAAATGCCCACCTGGATGCTGCAAAGTGCTGTAGTTTTCATAATGTTGCAATAATTCCTCACTCATGTCTACAAAAAAAAAAAATAATATTTATTTAAGCAAAACATTGCTTGGTTAATTTAATGACATCTGATAGCAATCAATAACTGACTGATTGAATTTAAGAGACCCTCCTATTTATTAAAATTTTAGGACAGAAAACAATGCATGTTGTGAAAGTATGTTAGTATATTCTGTTACCTTAACATTCCATAATAAATCTTTAATTCCAGTAGCCCTGTTTATATTACTTTGTTAAGAGTACATACTTATGGATACATTTTAATTATTTCTTACTGATCTAATAAAAGAAAAGAAAATAGGTTTGTTTTTTTTTTTTTTTCCTTTGACCTACCCTGTTTATTAAATTTTGGGAAATTGAAAGACCCCCATCTTAGATATTCAAGAGTAGATAGGTAGACGCAGGTCTTGTTTTATACGAGAGTAAAAAAAAAAAAGAAAAAAAAGTGGACTTAAGTTGTGTTCAGTAAGTATCCCTCTGGAAGGTGGCCTCTTAATTATTGGCATTCAACATATACCAAGAACTGCTTAAGAAACTTTTTACAAAAAGTTGGAAGTGAGTTTATCAATAAAATGTAGCTTCATAGAATGCAAAGGGTTCCTGGGAGTGAAAGGGAATGAAAAGACTTAGGAAGCCAGATGGCAATTGGTATTGCAAACAAGAAATCGAAATGGAGTTTCACAGGTGTGGGGTTGTGGGGTTAGAGAAAATACTATTAGAGTAGAACTTACGGTTGCATCTAATTAGTTCAAAAGTAAAATTTAGTAGCACTTTAAATTCATGCAGACGATACACTAAGGAGAACAGCTCATCAGAACCCTGTTTTTTTTTATACAATTATCTTACCTGGTTAGTACCTAGATGAGTGACTGTTTTGGAATACGAGGTGTGTTATATTTATTTACACATAAATGCACTTGGGAAAGTTATAAATGTTAATATCACTAAAAAAAAAAAAAATCTTACAATATAAAATTATTTTTTGATTTTAAATAACCTGCAATGTGATAAGCCATAAAGAACAAATCAATCAATCAATCAATCAATCAATACAAAATGAAGAGAAAAAGGACCATCAGCCTAATTCTGTGTGTAACACTTGCCAGATTAAAAAACAAAAACAATGCAGTGATTTAATAAATTCAGAGTTATGTCCCTTTTGTACTGAATTTCATATCAAAATATACAGTGATTTAATAAATTCAGAGTTATGTCCCTTTTGTACTGAATTTCATATCAAAATATACAGTGATTTAATAAATTCAGAGTTATGTCCCTTTTGTACTGAATTTCATATCAAAATATACAGTGATTTAATAAATTCAGAGTTATGTCCCTTTTGTACTGAATTTCATATCAAAATATAAAAAAAAAAAAATAATAATCAAGCAAGGGGTTACTGGGAATGTAGAAGGAACCACTTCTCCTACCATTTCTTGTTTTAGTCACTATATTTTGGCTACTACACCTGTCCCACCTGGATTCCAAATGTTGTCTTATGAATAAGGACCAGTATTCTTATCTATCTAGTCCTGGTTGATTGATTTCTTAATTATTTCAACATGAAATAACCCATTATTCTTTTAAATCTTATGTTTGGCTCCTTTTGGTGAGAGATGGATCTTGTCTCACCAAGTGGGCCCCTTATCGTTGCTCTTTGATCCATGCTAAAGAGACCAAGATAAGAAATAGGATCAAATAGCTCCCATTCACCAAACCCTTTAGATTTCATAATAATAGAATGGAACTTTCTAGAAGTCTCTAGAAACTTCTACTGGGTTCTAGAGGGTACAAAAAACATATATAAACAGGAGTTTGTGCCAACTAGCTAGTTGCCTCCTGAATCCACAGCCACGACTACTGAGGTCGACTCCGGTCCTTTTGATTCATGAACAAATCTTTGACCGAAAGGATCTAAGTTCTGACAGTCCTCGAAAAGAAAAGACTATCGATAAATACTTCACCGTTTTCCCTTGATATTATTGACCAAACTCCCTTATTTTATATACATGTGAATATCTAACTATTTTTCTAAGAAGAAAATAATATGATTCTTTGACTAGTGATGAATTTCCATCCGTTGTCGTAATCTTAACTGTATTTGGATTTCCTCTCCCACTCCGTCATATAGCTACATGTTTAGCCAACTACTTTCTGGGCTCTTGCATGCTTAGTAGCTTGTTAGCTTTTCTTATCTATATTATTTAAACTTCAGCCTGACTGTTTATAAAAAAATATTGTATTATATGTTAAATAAAACCCATTTTTCATTATTATATGTAATCTTTGCTTCAATTTTAATTTCAAAGAATTTCAACTTATTTTGTGTTGTGCCAGCCGTAAAATGACAAAAAAATGGAGTGGTAGCAGAACACAATAAAAAGAAATGATATCAGATGGAGTAAAAGGTTGATTTTTTGCTACCCAATAAGCACCACAATAAGAGAAGATCAAATAGTGGGGTTTGCTGGTAAGACATGACAGAAAACAGCACAGTCATCATGGAAGGAGGATTTGGGAAGGGCTTTTGTTCTGCAGTGGATTAATGGTAGTTAATGATAATCCTTAGCTTTGTGGTGTCAATCTCTACAGATTACAGAAAGTATCACCATGTCCCTCACTTCAAACAAACCTAAAAGAAATGTGTGTAAACTCTTTTTTTGAGTCACAGATCCTATAAGGATGAGTCCTTCATAGACAGGCAAGCAGATACTAACATTATTTGGACTATTGTCCTCACAGTGTGAGTTCAATACCCGGCAGTGGAGAACTTTCAGAGGAAAATTAACAGGAGATAACTGACATCCATTAAACATGGCACGTGGAACTAGAACAGGCTACCCCAGTGAGTGAAATAAAGGGTTCAGTTCGACATTCCAACCACCTGAAGAAGGCCGGAGCGTACGACAGCCGGAACATTGTAATAAATATGGCAACAAAGATGAGGACAATAGTCCAAATAATGCACATAATATCTCATCTCAGAAATATAGACAGATACTAACAGTCCAAATGGTTTTTCACAATATTTGTAGGTGCATTTCTCCACACACATCACTTTTCAGCCAGCCATGCTTGAAAAAAATTGTCAATTAATCCTCACGAGTATATAAGAAGATAATCAAGCCATGATAAATTAAAATTATCACTTGCTTTTATGGAGTGGCAAAAGATGGTGGTCGTGCAAATAATGATGACATGTTTAAATGGTAAACATGAACCTAACAGCAAGTCAAGAAACGCCTGGCAGTTGGCACTGTAAGTAGTGGCTGGGTGCATTTTTTCTTTTTTTTTTCTTTCTTTCTTTCAATGGGAAACCATTGATTTGGACAAGGGCTGTATAGCAAATATAAATGTTAATTATTATCTGATCCTCACTGACCTGAAATTCATCCATGGACCCCCAGGTTAAGAAGCACTGGTGTAGAGTAAATTTGTTTTTTTTAACAGAATGGAATCTTTCACTTTCAGTGTGGGGAATGAAGAAAAGTTACTCACCTTTGGGAATGACTCCATCTGTTTCCCCAAAGACGTGGAGAGTTGGAATAGTAACTTTTGTCTCATACAAATACTGATGCTGCTGAGAATTGCTTTTAAAAGATGCAACCAGGATTGCAAAATCAAATTTGATGGCACCATCTGCAAGACAAAATGATAACTCTTCTGAAGGGATGCGAAAATGTTTAGGAAATTTTACTGTTTAGGAAAAAAAAACAAAAAAAAAACATTACAAGTCCTAATACCTAGTTTCCACCGTCTTCAACGGAGTCAACAGGTACTATAAAGAGTCTTGCTCATTAAAAGGTAGTGGTCAAAGTTCATATTAAATTCAGTTCAAATTTTGGCAACTTGCATGTGAAAATCAAGATGCTTTTGCTGAAAGTCATAAGCAGTGTACAGCATGTTAACAATTTCTATGGCAGAAAAACTAGAAACTTGTAGACAAGTCAGCCTTTAATTTCAGTTTAACAAATCATTAACTATTAATGCTTACCAAAAAAAAAAAAAAAAATGGGGCAATGATTGGGTGGGGGGCTTCACGCCACGATAAGCACTTCCTCTACTCATTGGAGGCATGGTTGGGGCTAAAGGTCAGTAGGTTATAATCAAAAGGTCAGCATAAATGCCTTACCAGTTTTAAAGTGTTCAAAAACATGATACAGCAGCTTGCATAAGTAGTGGCTGATCCGTGTGGTGAAATTAGTGCCAACCTGTACATAGTGTCTGGCAAGCAACTAAGAGTTGTTTTGCCTTGAAATAGAACCTTACAAGGAGGTGTTGAAAGGTTTTTTGTTCAACCAAAAAGGGAATGGCCTATTTCATCTAACTCACAAATCGGACACAGTTTTTCAAATTTTCTGAGCTATTTAACCAAAAAAAAAATTATCCAACATGAAGTGAAATGCTGACTTTGGTAAGTTGGTTGGGCAGAGAACTTTTCAACACCCCCTCACTTTTTATCTGGAGAGGAAAAAAAATAAATTACCTGGGTTCAGTTGTTGGAGGCTGCAAAGAAGAGACACAAGAGCAGCACCTTGACTAAATCCCAAAACACCATCAAATGGACCCTGGAAAACAAGGTAGTCATTTTTAAATAGACTTAAAGGTGTAAATAGCTAAAAAAAGCAAAAAAAAAGTGGGGGGGGATTCTTTTATCCCTGTGTAGTCATTTCCAGAGATGTGCAAAATGCCTGACAAAACACAGATTGGTCAATCTATTCAAACTTCTGTGGATAGCAGGCAAGTCTCAGAGATGGATCCTCCTTGAGTGCCTCACATTTTTGGCCTTGTGTGACATAACAGAACTCGGCTATGGCTTATAACACTGATAATGTAAAGTGGACTGTGAATGATTTATATGAGTTTGCATCGTCTGGCATTAGTAAAGCCTAAAAATAAAATTTTCAAAGTTGCCACACTCTGACCATAGGGAAGTGACACAAATAAATGAATAATTAAATAATATTTTATTTTGGCTTTAAAAATGATCCCTTTTAAAAGTATATAAAAATATATTAAAACGAAGTGCAAAGACATGCGAAAAAATTATAACCACTTTAAGGCAAGTAATAATCTTTTTGCCTATCCTTGCACTTCCTCCCATTATTTATATATCAAATAACAACTTAAAAGAGACTGTTTGACCAACACAAAGACTGACCAAAATTCATGTTAAAAAAACAAATAAAAAAAACAAATGAAGACTTCAGACAAAAGTTCATTTTCTCCATCAAGACATTCATTTCTGTAGTTCACTGTTACCAGCAAGCAGAAAATTATTTTTCTCCTCACGATGGCCATGTTGGCTGAAACTAGTCGAGGAATCTAAATGAAATAATAATAAAAATGAAGGAATATTAATATACAACCCAGTGTGTCTGAAGATTTTAATTTTTTAATATTTTTTATTGTTCAAAATATATATATATATATATATATATATATATATATACACACACACACAAAATTTTAAAGCCATTAATGACTAAATGAAAACTTTTGGGATTAAGTGCCACTTTATATATAAAAAAAAAAGGGGGGGGGGCACCTCATATAGGTGTAATGGTTAGCAAGCTTGTCTCACTAAAACTCGCTAGAACAACTATGACTAAGTAGTAAGTTTGATCCTCACTGGGTACCCAATACTTTTGGCCTTGTGCCACATCTAAGCTATGCTTGGAAAATAACTATGAAAAAAAAAAAGCTAAAAATAATGAGAGCTTGGTAGGAATAAATAAGACCCAAAGCAAGAAAGAAAAAGAAAAAAAGAGGGGATAGAATAAAATTGGGTAGAAGTAGAAATGATAAGGGGGTGGGGGGAGAATAAGGGTAGATAAAACTGAGGGAGGAAATTTGGTGGCAGAGAAAACACCCCCCCCCCGGTAACCACCACCACTACACACACACACATACACAAAAAAACAAACAAAGCCCCAAACAGTGACTGACCTTTTCCAGAAATGTTTGCTTGACAACTTCTAATGATTTTTCATAGCCTTTGGCACAATTTGTTTTATCTTGGGCTTTGAAGTAATCATCTTCACGGGAAAACCACCAGCCTCTCTCGTCAAGATCTGAAATGCCAAAATACAATCATATTCAACAGAATAGACACTGCTATCATAAAGCTTTACAAATATGTAGACAGCACCAAAAGTTCTGGGGCAAGGCACTATTATTCTGAGAATCATTCAGATTAATATTCACATCTTTATTTTTTGATCATCATTAGTTCTCTGGTCTTCTTATTTGTTTAACACTTAACATTTCCAAGTAGAGATGTAACAATAACTTAAAGTGTTAAACAAATTTTTGTTGCTTTGATCAAGGACTGGATGGATATTGGAGAAAAAATAAACATTGAAGGTTATCGGGTGCAACAGAGACTTGAGGAAGGGTGGAGAGCCCAACTACCAAAGTGTACAGATCAAATTCTGTTTATATTTGTGTGTGTGAATATTTCACCCACGGAAGTGTGGTCTGATGAGCTAGGGAAAAAGAAATTCCCTGAGGAAATAAATTATAACCAATGGACTCTTAAAGTTGTCTGTTTTCATTGAATATATATATATATATATATATATATACATATATATATACACACAAACACACACACACAGGTAAAATAAATTCAGTAGTTGTATAATCCAAGCAGGTCCTAGGAATATTAAAATTAATCCAGAAAAAGATAGCTTGATGTCTTTTATTTGTACAGCACAATATTTGAATAATCAAAAAAAATTTTTACCTGATAGGGAATTGGCTATTTTGGCAGACAATAAGTGGTCATCTGTCTTTTCAATTCCAATATGGTTCCATGAAAAGACACACAACCACTTTTATTGTTTGCTGAAATAGCCTATTCCCCACGAGGTAAAACGAATTTTATATATATATATATATAATTATTTATTTGAAAATTATAACATAAATATGTTATAAAATCACTACAAAAATAGCCATTTTGTTTCAACACTTCTGCTGTCTTATGAAGTGTCACTTGATAAGACAGCAGAAGTGTTGAAACAAAATGGCTATTTTATAACATATTTATGTTATAATTTTCAAATAAATAACTGTATTTGTTCTACTCTGTACTGAGCACTCTTTTAAGAATTGTATTTGTTGGTTATTGGAATTTATTCCATATACACCAATCCTATACTTATGTATGTGTGTGTATATATATATATATATATATATATATATGTGTGTGTGTACACAATTTCTAAAGAATTAATGGATTTATTCTTCAAACATTACTTTTTTTTTTATGGATACCCATGCTTGAAATAAACGCCCTGTTTTTTATTTTAACCCTTTAGCATTCAGTATGCTCCAACCTGCCCCATAAATATTGGCTCTTAAAGTCTCACTGTATGACTTCCTGCATCAATGATGTCATCATATATTATGACAGAGTCTACATGGGGCAGGTTGAACACTGAAAGCCAATATGTTGAATGCTAAATAGTAAAACAGTATGTATTATATCTATCAGTCTGTGTACTCGAGAAATCTTAATAGAGAAAATGTGCTCTTCCTGGTAAGGTTCAGACCTACGTCGTTCTTTGTAGGAGAAACCACCATTAGGTCCAGTGTGCCTTAGACTGCTTGGCCCTAGGGAGCAAACAGCCCTGCCAAGTTTTATTTTCTCTTTTAAGGAAAGCACGTTTCTTTATTTTGATTTTTCTTGTATCCAAAGTGTAAACAAAGCAATTTCTAAAGAATTAATGGATTTATTTTTAATCTGATATTTTTACTATTTCAAATGTTACATTTACTTGAAGCCAGAGAGTACGTTCTGTTTATTAAGATTTCTCGAGAGCACACGGCACGTCAATAGACCTACGACACAAATTTAAACAAAAAACTCGGTATTTCAGACACAATATAAATTGTCCAGACAAACAAAAAGTAGCAAATACCTTTATGATTTTCCGTTTCACTTTCCCCATCTTCTGTTTTATGCGGAGGTACAAGATTCGGAGCACTTAAAAAAACTGCCAAAACAAAAATCAGTCTGAATTGGAAAGAATTTAATCAACAGCAATATTTGGAAAAATCACTTCAGATTATGAAATTCAAAATTTAAACAAAAATTGTAAGAAATAGTACAAATATATTCTGTTTTGGCTTCTATAAAGGGGATCAATTTACATAGCAAACTCTACCCCTGTATTATCTTTTATAAATTTTAAAAGAAGAAAGTGATTTGTGATTTAGTGTGGTTAATCTATAGTAATTTGAAAAAAATAATTATTTCTTGCCTCTTATAAAACTTGAGCCACCAGTAATTTTTCCTCCTTTATTTCAGCTATTTTTTTGTTTTTGTTTTTTGTAGCTGATATTGCGTTTGTGGAAACAAACTTCAAACTTGGACCTCCATTTCCACAAAAAAAAGAAAAGAAAAAAGTGTGTCAAAAGGACAGGTTTTCCATTGATGACACTATTATTTTAAAAAGTGATGATTAGAATTGTAACAAAACATATGATGAAAGTGAATTTATACATTTCTTTTTAATTCTTGAGAATTTACAACAAAAATATTAAACACTAGCAGTAGAGCCTGGCATTGCCCGGGGATGTAACAGTAAGAGATAGATCAAGTATTGACCATCATAAAGACTGAAAAATAAAATTGACAAAGATTATTGTTTAAGGTTGACAGACACGCATGTCTTAATTAGTTTTTTTTTGTTTTGTTTTTTTTACGAATTGGTCAAACCCAAACCCAAACTCAAACAAAAACATTGTTTTCAATCGTTATGAGTCTATCGATTGGTGAATAGAATTTTATTATAAACAATTGTCTTGTAAATGGAATTTTTAAAGCATCCTGAATGTAAAAATAAAGAAAAAAGTGTGCAAGACATTATAAGAAACACTACCTGCCGAAAAAAAAGAAAAAAGAAGTGAAGTTTTGTTGAAATCGGTTGAAAAATGTAGGAAAGCTGATCTGGGTTTTATAATAAGTATAACTCGATATGAGTTGTCCCCCTTTCATTCTTGCGTTGCCTCTTAATTGTGTTTTAAAATTGATTTTGTGCAAAAACAATTGTTTTTTTCCAATTTTTGGCACTCTCAGAACCACCGCAAGGTAATTTTACGTAGTCCTGTGAAGTTTTGTTGAAATCGGTTGAAAAATGTAGGAAATTTGATCCAATATATAAACGTACAGACACACACACACACAAACTGGGTTTTATAATATATATATGATTATTTAATTATTACATTGTTTATTTTCAAGAATAATTTTATATTTACAATATTCTAAAAACTAATATAACTGTATTAAGACTAATGCAATATAATATTTATCATTTACCAATTTATAAAGAAATAAATATAAAAACAATTTTTTATTCATAATCATTTACTAAATTATTAAAATATGTAAACCAATCATAAGGAAATCCTTACTAACCATTTTATAAAGTTTGAATTAATTGGCTGATAATTTGCCAGCAATTCTAATAAATAATGTTTATTATTTTTGTTGCCAATTCTCAAGAACAAAGAAAATGTATAAATTCACTTTCATATGTTTAGGTTTTATCAAAATTCTAATCATCAAATGTAATATTTTCTTGTATATTACAGTTGTCTTGAGTTATATTTTTTTTAGGCTGTGCACATTTTTTATCCTCAATCTTTGCTCTCATGAGAGAGGACTGTAAATCGGTTTAGTGATAGTTGAACATGTGATTAAAAACTGGCAATGTATCTAGTCTTACAGTCCAGCCATGGCTAGTTCAGAGTATGACTTAACATACATTGATTCTAAAAATTTTAAGTCCTACCAGCCATCTCTCTGTAAGCAGGAGGAGTGGTTGTTAGGCTTAAACTCTAAACTGTCATCTGTATACAAGTGCTTCCTGACATCAGTGGTGGAAAAAAGGCTTTGAGCAAGTGAGACCTGAGTGTCTTGATAAAGATCATCTTTCTTTGAACATCATGGACTGGTGCTACAAATTCACAAAGAACTGTACCAAATAACAGAAACCTTATCACTTGAGGACTACCAATAGCAGCAACAACTAAGATGGATAGTACATATTGCATGAATGGAAAATAATGACATAGCCAAGATGTTGATGTTCCACAAAAGGTTAGTAAGGAAACCCCCATCAATATTGGAAAGAACAATAAAAGTTATTGGACTTGAGAAACCTGTTTTCTTGAAAAATTGTTTGTTAAAAGAAAGATTTTATAAATTTCAACCAAAAGCAGTACTGGATGCTCAGTCAATGAATGCCAAATGTTTCCTTGTAGGGAAACGGTTAATATTACCATTAAAAGGTAATTAACCTATATTTTCTTGCATGTAATATTTGTCTTTGTTTTTTCTTTTTTTAGTCATGACATTTGATTAAAGGAACAAAAACTATTTTTTGTAGCCAATTAGTTATTTTGGTATGGTAATGCATTAATTTCCAATGCCGTAGAATTTTATCATAAATAATAATTGATAGTATTTTCCATTGGAAATAATAAAATCCTGCTATTTGTGTGCGATACTGTAATTCTTAATCTATTATTGAACTTTGTTTGGGTTTTTGATTGGTTGTTTTTCTGATGTGTCAATCCTTCTGGGGTCATTTACTGTTGAATTTCATGAGGCACCTAGTGAGGATCAAACACAATACTCTGGCCAACCAGACAAGCTGTGTAAAGCAAAACCCCAATACTGAGTCACCAAAAGTTATACAATACACTTATTCATCATGACCTCTTTGGGATGATAATGTGTTTTCCCTTGACATTTCAGTTCTTCAGCAAACTCCAATTCTTGTACAAAATCTTTTTCATATGAAATACAAAAAAAAAAAATCACCAATTTTATCCATTTTAATGTGGTTAATGAAGATTTCTAGAAATCTGGTCCTAACTTGTTTAATTTAAATAAACTGATTTATAGAATATTTTCTGTCATTAATTCTTAAGCAATTTGAATTCGTTCCAATCATTCATTTTTCTTGTGAATACATTGTCTCAGAATTTCAGATCATTTTATACTATAATCTTCAGTTTCAGTTTCATTAGTAATTGATGGGTCGAGTCGGTCTCCTCAGTAATATTGAAAATCATAAACTGAAAAGTTTTCTACATTTGCCTAAAAATGACAAAATTAATAAAATAAAAATTTGGTGAAATAATAATAAATAAAAAAAAATATGAGATGAAAATTTTATCGCTTTGCGAAAACAAAAAAAAAAAAAAAAAAATTTTTTAAAGCTTAAAACAAAACTATTATGCTAAATCGATATAATTCGAGGGGAAGCAACTGTAGGAAATTAAGGGAGGTAATTACGGCAAAACTTCTAGTCAAGGGCGATAACTACAAAAGGCAGATTAAATCTATTTTGGATATACAAATTTGCGATGTCTTTTACTCTAATTTCATCTTTTTTTTCTTCACGCTGTTGAGTGATGACAACGAATCTAAAAACCAAAAATTGAACACCAAATTTACTAATTTCTAGTGAAATCCCGTTGAAATCTTTATAGGGAATGCTGAAAAGTTTTTTGCCCAACCAAGAAGGGATTTGTGTAGATACCTCCACTGATTTACTAAAAAGGGACTATGAAAAAGGCCCCAAAATGTTTGTTATTATTTAGAGGAAAAACCAAAGTATTTTTTTTTAATTATTTTATTACTTTTTTTAATCCTTTAATACATTCAAAATTTTGGTTAAAAATCTTGTTTTTCTTGCGTCAACAGTGGGATAAAGATATTTTAGCAATGTTTTTGGAGTTTTTATTTATTTATTTTTTTTTTTAAAAAAAAAAAAAAAAAAAAAAGTTAAATTTTAATTTTTATCTTTAGTCTATTGCTGACACAAGTAAAACAAAATTTTTTACCCAAATTTCAAACGTGTTAGAAAGAATTAAAAAATTTAATAAAATAATTAAAAAATACTTTGGTTTTTCCTCTAAATAAAAACAAGCTTTATTTGAAAATTCATGCAAAAATCAAATAATTATCGGATTTCAATGAAATCTTCAGGATTAATCACAAATGAATTAAATTATTTCTGAAATTTTATTTTATTTATTTATCCTATTTTTTTTTTTTTAGAAAATCTTCATAAAAATATTTTATGAAATTTTGAGAAATTAAAATTCCACCCTCTTCAAATTTATATTAGTTAAAAGCAGGACTCCTTGGAGAATTTAAATCATCAATTTATTAGAAATGCTTTTAATTGCTTTTAGAAATAAGATACATTAAGGGCACTATTGTCTTAAGAAAAAAATACTTTTTGATTAATAATGAATTTTTACAAAAATTGTTTTCATTTGTTTTTAATTTTCATTATAATAATTTATAAAGGTTTTAAATTTTAACATTCTGTATTAATTTATGCCTTTTAGATTATATTAAGTGAAAACTATATTTACTAATCATAAATGGATACAAATCATCAAGCATGAATATTTTTGAAAGAATTTTGAATCTTTTTTTATTAGTGTATAAACATGTTGATTTTTTAAGTACAGTCAACCATACACAACATTATCAGAAAATAACTATTAAATTTAAAGCTGAAATTTCTAAAATTCAATAAAACAGACTATGGAGAATATTTTCCTAATTTTTTAAAGATTACTGAGTACTTAAAAATTATTTAAAAAAGGTGTTTATGTCATTTTCTTCAGTTATGTTTTACTGCAGATAAATCTCCATAGAACAATATTAGCTGTTAAACATATCAACACAGCTACCATCAGGGTAAAATCCAGCTACTGTTGGGCTAAAAAAATGTATTTCTGCAATATTTTAAACTTAAAGTAAATATTTGTTTCAAATCAGATTAATTATACTTTAAATCAATTAATATTCCTCAAATAAAGTTTCAGAAATTATTTTATTTATTTTTGAATGATTTTTTAATAAAAAGAATTAAATTGCGATGATATTGCTAAAACTGGTGCTAAAATCAGAAATTAGCAATTGGAAAATAAAAAATAGCTCCTTCCAGTCAATTTAAATTAGTTTTGAACTACAGCAAAGTATTTTGCTTATTGGAAATATTAAATTTAATTTATTAGCTTGAAATTAAAAATAAAAGCTTCAAGAAAGATTTTTCATTTTTTAAAATATTCATTTTAAACCTTAGGTATTTACTTTTCTGGTTTTTGTGGAGGTACATAGATTTGTGTGTGTGCGCATACGAATGCATACACATAAGGATACATCAGTATGCCTGTACCTTAATTATAGTATTAAACTGAATTTTGTAGGCTATAACATCAAGGTTCATCACTGAATTAACTGCATTGATAAGTAACAAATGATTTTTTTCATCACACACACAAATATAAACATTTAATTGACATGTAATTCCAATTAAATGCAGGTTATTGTTGATTTTTTTTCCATACATTGCTCAATATCCTGCAAACAGAACCATATATAATGTAGATGTTATGTTTTCTGTATCTTATTGTAAAAGTGATATACATATATATAGCTAACAGTTAAAGATAGAACTGATTATCACTCTTAAAATTCCATGAAATTTTAATTACCTGTATACACGTCACATTTTTAACAAGATCTAAAAATATTAATATTTATATATATATATATATATATATATATATATATATATATATATATATATATATATATATATATATAAAGAGAGTACTAAAAAAGTTCTCAGGCTGACAAAAAAAGCCTAGCAAAAATGTCATTTGGTCAGATTTTTGGGAAGTGGGTTAAAGGTCAGGCCAATAATAACTTATTAAAAATAACTTTTCAGCAATGTCTTATGTGTGCATATAAATATACATACATACATACATATATATATGTAGTAAGGCTGCCTGAGGCCACGCCTTCTCATTGCACTAGAGAGAAAGATCGGTGCATGCACCAAGGCCAGCGCAACTGATGCTCGGGGAATTTTTGTTCCTTGCCCGGGTGCATGCACTCGGGCTCCACACATTAAACCGACCTTGTGGGGGGGGTGAGTAAATATCTACATATATGTAGTAAAATTTCCAGAACAATTCTGTAGAAAAGACAAGTTGGTAAAAAAATGACAATTGGAAAAAATGTTAGTTTTTTTCACAGAATTATTCTGGGAATCTTACTATATCGGCAACATGAAAAACAAAAACAAAAAAAAGCTCTTAATATAAAGACATTAACATTAACCAGAAAGGGGCTTATGCAGGTGTGTCTCTTTCATTTCTAAATTTGGATTTAATGTAACTGTTGTAACCTACAAAAGGTTACTAAATGAGAAATAACCAAAACGGAGGTTTGGAATGAAATGGTAATCTTTATAACATTAACAAAATACAATACCCAGTAGCAGAGTGAAGTAGGTAAACCACTGCTAGTGATGGACTACTTAGACAGCATATTACCCCCACTTACAATAGTGTCCAATATATTTATAAGGATTGGGATATACCCATTGATATTTATAGGTACGGTATATAACACTTTTTTTTTATTTTACTAAGTCCTGCCAGTATTCGTTTTTTTAATGTTTTGATTACTGAATGAGAAATAATCAAAATGGAGGTTTCAAATGAAATGATAATCTTTATAACATCGACAAAATACAATACTCGCCAGCGGCGTGAAGTAGGTAAACCACTGCTAGTGGTGGACTATGGAGACAGTATATTACCCCCATTTACAATAGTGTCCAACGTATTTGTGAGGATTTGGACATACCCATTGATATTCATAGGTACGGTATATAACACTTTTTTTTATTTTACTAAGTCCTGCGAGTATTTGTTTTTTTGTTTTTTTAATGTTTTGATTACGGAATGAGAAATAATCAAAATGAAGGTTTGAAATGAAATGGTAATCTTTATAATATCAACAAAATACAATACTTGCCAGCAGTGTGAAGTAGGTAAACCACTGCTGGAGGTGGACTATTTAGACAGCACATTATGATATTTACCTGCCTCCCCATGAGATAGGATGCAGCACAAGGTCAAATTTAAGGCAGGGAAATCAGAGCCTGTGGGCTCTGGCAAAAATTGCCCATAGACCCCACATACACGGGATCAGGTATCTGTCTACCTCCATGGATGAGACTCTACCCTTCGGCATAGCCTCGTCAGAGTTCCTCTCTGCCCAAAGACAGAGAGAGTTCAACATGGCAAGAGCTTCCCACACTGACAGCTTAGGCAGCATATTACCCCTACTTGCAATAGTGTCCAACGTATTTATGAGGTTTGGGCTATACCCATAAGTGTTCATAGGTATGATATGTAACAGTAACATTTGTTATATAGTTTATGAAAGCAAAATTAGTTCTTACAATTAGATCCTAATATTGTCACATTTAAGAGATAATACAAATATATGTTGTTTTTTTTAATATTTTGATTACTGAATGAGAAATAATCAAAACGAAGGTTTCAAATGAAATGATAATCTTTATAACATCAACGAAATACAATACTCGCCAGCGGCGTGAAGTAGGTAAACCACTGCTGGTGGTGGACTACTGAGACAGTATATTACCCCCACTTACAATAGTGTCCAATGTATTTATGAGGATTGGGCTATACCCATAAGTCTTCATAGGTATGGTATGCAATAGTAACTATAACAAAAAAGATATTTCGATTTCATTTTGATTTTTGCCTTGATAAAGTCGGAAGGCAAAATGTGTCAGCAAAAAACTAAGATTTTTTCTAATTGTCATTCTTATACCAATACATACTTGTAGCAACCATTGTTAATAAACTTACCCAGTTCAGCCTGGTTCTTGGTTATCTTCCTGAAAGCCCCGGTTTTCTCACGAAATGATTGTGCATTTTGTCTATAAAACAAAAATATTTAAAACAATATTTTTTACAATCACCCTAAAAAAAAGAAATGAGAATAGTATTGCCATCTTTTCTAAGTTTTTTTCTTTTCTTTTTTAAAACTATTTCACCTCATGCAAAGGGTTACTGAGGGTGAAAGAGAAAGATGTCAGTGAGGAGAAAGAAAAATAAAAGAACAGGATTCAGGAATACAGAAAATGGCAATTGATGTTAAATTTAAATATTGTAGTTGGCAGAGAAGACAGAAATCAGAAGATAGTTCCACAGGTGAGAAAAGAAACTATTAGACTAGAATTTTATGGTTGCCTCTTGCCATTTCAACAGTAAAACGATAAGACCTAGTTGCCGATCTAGCAGTATGCTTAAATTCATGTGGTCAAACTGCGATGCCAAGAATTCTTAGCATTGCTTGATAATGGAATGGAACTATGTATTTTAACTTTTTTTTATGATCGAATTTGAATTGAAGCTTCAGTTTTGAAAAATGGGAATTTTGGTGTTGCAACGATTATATATATATATATTATATATATATATTATATATATATATATATATATATATATATATATATATATATATATATATATATATATATATATATTATATATATATATCATATATATTTTATTTTTATATATATATATATATATTTATATATATATATAGTGAATCAACATTCAAGTATATCTATTTCAAAGCAATTTTTCTTAGTGCATGGTTTTCATTCTTGACTTCAGTTGGACCCAAAATTAAATTTTTCTTTTTTAAGTTCTTCTCTCAAAATATTGACCAAAATACATTTCATTGATATTGTTCATAATAAAGAAGAAAGAAAAAAAAAAAAAAAAAAGAAAGAAAGGAAGTAAAAAAAGAAAAATGAAATAAAATTAATGTGTCTCGTCAGGCTGCATAGATCTGGGCCCTATGTGCAATGTATTTCTTGCTTTAATTTTATAAATAATCTTTTATAAATCTCTAATGACTTGTATTCCCTTGTTTTTCAAAGAACCCATTTTCATTTCAACTTATTGTTTTCAAATGTCCATTTTAAATAATTTATTCTGTACAGCATAAGCTTTTTTTAGCAGAATGTATCTTTTGAGAAAGGGCAAATTAAATTTATCCTGACCTTAAATTTGGCAAAAATCAAATAAAGTGGGTGCCTTAACTCATTAACTGGAGGGTTGGGGTGAGGAGTCTGACTGAGACAGTACTGAGAAAATATGATACCAGTCACCAGTACTGATCATAAACTTGTACAATAAATTAAACTTAAAATTCACAGAGAGATACATAAACATATATACAAACTCACACTCGAGAAAGATGCATAGATGTATGTTATTTAAAAAAAAAAACACACACATATCTGCCATTGTCTTCACTCTTTTTTCTTAAATGTCCAGAAAAATTTTCAAAATGTTCATTTTTATAGAATTATTATAATTAATACTAAAATACCAAAATCTGTATTTCTTTTTTTTTAATTTCATGCACAAAGATTTTTAAAAAATTATATATTTTCATTAGAGTAAAAAGAAATCGTTTTAGTATCTAAGTTATACCAATAGTGTATTTTGTTAAAGATTGTAAACCTAACAAACACTGATGACCTAGAGTTGCCAGTCATTATATATATATATATATATATATATATATATATATATATATATATATATATGTATTTTATAGTAAAAAAAAGGAAGAACAGTAAGATATGTACTCGATTGTTCTTATTGATATTTTTATTTTTACAAAACAGTGCTCAATGTAAATTTACAGAGCATAAATATTATAAATTAACTGATTTTAAATTAACAGTGTATGATGAAACCATATTTTTAAATCAGTTAATTTATAATATATATATATATATATATATATATATATATATATATATATATATATATATAAAAAATACCAATTTGTAATTGGTAGGGATAATTCAAGGAGGACGTTAATCCAAAGAGAATTCAGTGTAAGTTATAGAGCAATATAAAAATAAATCTTCCCTTAATTTAAAAAAAAAAAAAAAAAAAATTATATTTGAAATCTTTATTTTTCTTTTTTTCCTATTATTAAAAAGTTTTCCTTTCTCTCTTTTTTTTTTTTTCTACCTGTCTGGATGGATTTATTTCACGAATATTTTTATATTCATCTCTTCAGACCAAAATCACATTTCTAAAAAAGATTTTTGGTCTAAAGAGATGAATACAAAAATATTCATGAAATAAATTATAACCGAGATGGATTTTTAAGGGTTTTTTTAAATTTATTATATATATATATATGATGAAATGTGTCAATTGAAAACTTTTTCCATTTTGTCATACACCTTACTTCCAAAACTGTTCTTGATATATAAAAATTTATATAATATTATCCCATATATTATTTATTTTTTTAAGCGTTTCACCCCACAAGCAAGGTGGGAAGCCACTAGCATGCAAGGGGTTACAGAGAGTTGGAGCGAGAGCAAAGAGGAGTGATAAAGGATGAAGAGAAGGATAGGGGATAGATCAGGGCATCTGGAGACATCGATTGACATTACATTTGAATAGTTGGAGATTATAACTATCAGGGAAACAGGAAAAGGGGAGGGAGTCCCACAGGCGGGAAGTGCAAGACATGAAGCTATTGGAGTAGAAGAGACGGCTATATTTAACAGTTTCGACAGTGAAAGGGTGAGAGCGAGATGCCAGCCTAGTTGAGCGCTTAAATTCATGAAGTCTGAGAACCAGCAAAAGCAACTCCTCGGAGCAGTAACCGTGAAAGTATTTGTAAAAAAGACAGAGGGAGGCAACGGCATGTCTGTGAGAGAGCGAATGCAGATGAGATGCCAGATCTGGGCCAATTACACTGCATATCCATCTCTGGATCTTATCAAGGACCTTGAGACAAACAGAAGGGGCTCCAGACCATATATGGCAGGAATATTCCATGCAAGGGCGAATGGTTGATTTGTAGATTTGAAGGATCGACTCTGGCGAGAAAAATTTCCCAGCGCAGCACTGGGAGCCAACTTTCCTTGTAGTGGACGAAGCTATTGACTCAATGTATTTGTTCCATCTCAGGTCATACATACATATATATATATATATATATATAATGCAAGTTAAAAGCAAAGCAATAGTAGAGCAAAAATTTCACCAAGTACGAATGGTGTTCAAATGCAAATGGGATACAGTCAACTGGTCTTAACCGTTTGACTTCAATGCAACAAAGAATAAAAATGTGCATGTAAGACTGCAAATTATCCATCTTTATTGGTTGGGAAGGAATCCCAGCATGCATCTGGAGAATTTGTCAATAAATTTTGGTGGGGAGGTTTTTAGAGCAGTTATTCCAAGGAAATTGTAACCAACAATTATAGGTTTCTAAAAATCTAGTATTAATTATAGGTTTCTATCTATAATTCATTAATGCCCAGCGTCCCATTTTTGGGACGGTGGGCATTATTAAATGGGTTAAAATTTCAATTATTTTTCTTTGATCTATGGCCGTATGTAAGTATATCAATAAGTCTATACCCTGATGAGGAAAAAATATTTATGTAAATATTTATATCTCAGTTCTTGACAATACACTTAATTGACAAAGATTAAGAGCATAGATTGAACTTTATACAGTGAAAAATTCAGCTAATAACTATCAGGCTAAGGACTTATTGATACAAGCTTGTATATGCTGACTTAAGATAAGAACTTCCACAAAATCAACTAAAACACCATTTAATGTTGTGTTTGTGAGCTTCAGCTGCTGAAAACCCTGCACGGCTTTACTTTATTAATTGCGACATGTTTTGCCTTTGTTCTTTACTAGATTAACCGTGACCCATTGTGTCATTGATGGTTCAAGCTATAAAACATTGAAGTTGATTTCAACATACCATTGAAATGAAAGTCAATTTTATTATAATTCAGTTAAATATTTCAATTCATTCGTGTTATCATTAGTCTGGTTTACAAGTTCATGTTTAACATGTAAGTTGATTGTTTACAGCATTTAATAGGAATAGAACATCCAGGATCAACTTGAATTCCAGTAACCGCATTTATTTATGGCATATGTGAACATTTGTACAAAATGCAAAAGGAATATGACTGTATAAAGAACTTTTATTTTTAAATCTTATTCACTTAAAATATTTTTGAAATCAGATTAACTTAAAAATGTTTTTTTAATATGCCAAAAAATATTTTTAAATCATATGAAAATATTTTTTAAATATTTAAAATATTGTTTGTTTAAAGAAAGCTGAAATATAAATAATTCTTCTACAAACAACTGGACAAAACAGCAAATCAGGATCTCTTTGTGTCTGTCTTTAACTTAAAAATATTTTAATTAAAAATTTTCTCTTTGAAGAAAATTAAAATAAAAATACTTATTGTATAAACATCTCAGATTTTAAAATCTTATTCACTTAAAATATTTTAAAATCAGATTAACTTAAAAATATTTTAATTAAAAATTTTCTGTTTGAAGAAAATTAAAATAAAAATACTTATTGTATAAACATTTTGTATTTTTAAGTCTTATCCACATAAAATATTTTAAAATCTTATTTATTTAAAATATTTTTAAAATCAAATTAACTTAAATCATTATGCACTGGATGGATTTACCACACAAGCACACATGCAATCACAGACTTAGTATTATATAGATTGGTGCCCAGAGATAAGAAATGTTTGTAGGTTTTCCCACTGAGAAATATATCAAAAAACAATTTCAGCTAAACAGTTTGGGTTTAGTAAATTTGACATTTACTTGAGTAGCTAATCTTGCTTCCGTATTTTTTTTTTTTTGGGGGGGGGGATTTGATTCCTTCCAATTTTAGATTAGATTTAAAGAATACCTCCCCCCCTTACGGCCTTTCTCACAAACAGGAATATTTTTAAGAAGTCTTTCAAAATACCTGTAGCCATGGATACAAAGAATCTGAAAAAGAAGAAAAAAACAGTTGTTATTTGTCAAATAAAAGTAAAAAGCAGGTAAATTTCAATTCAACCAAAGATCAGTAAACTCGATTGGAAGTGAGAAAGTCTTGCAACAGGAGACAGGCATAACAGTGAAACTCCCTGGCATGAATGTTGTTTTAGGGAAACTTTATTTTCATTTTTAATCATTTCACCCCATGCAAGGCAATAAAGCCAGAAGGAGTTAATGAGTGTGAAAGAATAAGAAAACAAGAGAAACATTATTAAAGAGTGAGAACAATAAAAGAAATGTAATCAAAAAGACAGTAGGTAACGACTGACATTGTATTTTAATTTGTGAAAATCAAGGCTAGTTGGGAAATGCATGGAACCGGAAGTGAGAAGTGCAAGAAAAGAAACTATTAGAATAGAACTTAAGATTACATCTAGCCAATTCATTTGTGAATTGATGAGACCTAATTGCCAATCTAGTACTGCACTTAAGTTCATAAAGCCTAGTTACCATATAGGAAAGTGATATTTATTCTGTTTAATACAGAAATGTGGCACAAGGCCGAAAAGGGGATTGGGGGAAAGGACGGTCTTCTTCTGTCTTAACTATAACTTAGCTAGCTGCAAACACTGACCCAAACGTACGAAACAGTAATCCTTACACCAAAACAACACATTCATTCGTACCTTTCTTACTACAACCACCATAATACCTCTTTGTCTCTATGAAAATACTAACTAGTCCCCATATTTACAATTCGTTGTCTGTGGGGGGAGGGGAATAAAACAACAATTCTAAAAGTTAACCCCAATGAGTATTTACAATATGCATACAAAAACTATTTACAAGAAACTAATATAGGAAAGTTAATCAGAATAATTAACATGAAAGTATTTATAGAAAAGGCACAGGGAAGCTATGTTATGGCAGAGCGGAAGTGACTGAAGTTGAGATGCCAGGTCAAAACCAATGATCTTAGGATTTTAACAAGCATCTCTGAATATGTGGCAGGAGCAGTGGACCATATGTGGCAGCAATATTCAAATCAAGGATGAATGATAGACTTATAAATATGTAAGACAGATTTTTGAGAGAAAAAATTGTCTAGCATGTGAACAATCTTTCCGAGCAGCAGACTGAGTAATGAATATAATCTTTCCACTTCATGTCAGCCGAGAATGTCACTCATATGGAGATTAGTATCGGCCATGCCTTGGGAGGCAGGAAGGGGTCTTTTATGTTATTAATAGAGAGAAGTTTTATTTTGTATGTTAAAATTAACAAGCCATTCCTTGCCCTAGTTGACAACAGACTGTAGGTAATTTTTTTTTTAGATCAGCTACCAATTTGACCCTCTCGAACTGATCAGACTTACTACAGAAAATAATAATTTTCTCTCAGAATGGGCCAGCAAAATCTCTTGGAATGCCAAAGAGAGACAACTTTTGTATTTGAATAGACCTTTCAGTATAATAAAAGTCCAAATCCCCATGTATACACACATAGCCTCTTCGAAAAAAAAAAAAAAATCACCTGGTGATATCAGTTGCTTTTATAGCAGTTTGGTGGACCCTTTTTCAGATTTTCTATTTGTGGAGAATAGAAATGGATAGCATATTTTTCTATACAATCCATTACACTCAGTGAAACTTGAATCATGATTCATTAGCAGAAGCTAATTTACATGAACTCACTGACCTTATTCAGTGGTGAAGCATTTTCCTTTTTTTCTTTCTACTCTCTCATTTATTTTTTCGTGCAAAAGCAGCATGTGACCCAAAAGCGTTTTGTCTTTTGGGGTATACCACCATTTCCCACTATACACACCCGCACCCGCAAAAAACAAAAACAAAAAAACAAAGAATGTGTCAAAAGGAATATTTTTACTTGACACCACTATTACTGTATAATACACCTCTGGCAATTTTTTTATAAATATTTTCCTATACTTACTGAGTATAGTTGCAGTATGAATTACATGTTCTGTGGATGCTGAACAAACGCAAATGTTCCTGAACATGTGTATGCAACAGGGATTGGTTGGCTACCCTTGCAGATAGGTATGCCAGGTTAAAAAAGAAAAGTAGGTGGCCCTTTTAACAATGAAGACATTATCACAGAGACAATTAAATGCACTATGGAACATAGCAAAAAAAATCTACATTACCCCACCAACAAGGGAGGTGGGATCGTCATAATGTATAAGAACTCATACGACAAAAAAAAAAAAAAAAAAAAAAAATTTACTACCAAACGATACCAACACACATGAAAAAAAATAAATGAACAGAAAATAATGACAAACATAAAAATTTAGCAAAGTGATAAGGAAACTAATTAAAAATAAAAACAAAACATTGTATAGACTAAATAGAATATTACTCTAGAATACTCAAAGTTTATGATCTCTCTAAAATCCACAAAACAGGCATCCAATTATTTCAGCAATAGAGAGCCCCACCTCCACAAACAGGCTAAAGCCATAACAAAAATTTTAACCCTTCCTCTTGGAACAATCAGTCTATCACACAGAAAATTCAGGCAACCTAGTTGAAAAATTAAGGGAAACAAATATGACTGACAAACTCATAGCCAGCCTAGACATAAAATTATTTCACACTAACATTTCAGTTGAAAAATGCTTAAATCTTACTTATTATAAAATGCAGATTGTGTGTGTGTGTCTGTACGTTTATATATTGGATCGGATTTCCTACATTTTTCAACCGATTTCAACAAAACTTCACAAGACTACGTAAAATTACCTTGTGGTGGTTCTGACAGTGCCAAAAATTGGAAAAACACAATTGTTTTTGCACAAAATCAATTTGAAAACACAATTAAGAGTCATTGCGAGAATGAAAAGGGGACAAATCATATCGAGTTATACTCATTATAAAACTCAGGTTGTTTGTGTGTGTGTGTGTGTATGTGTTCATTTATATATGGGATCGGATTTCCTACATTTTTCAACCGATTTCAACAAAACTTCACTTTTTTTTGGCAGGTAGTGTTTCTTATTGTCTTGCACACTTTTTCCTTTATTTTTACATTCAGAATGCCTTAAAAATTCCATTTACAAGACAATTGTTTATAATAAAATTCTATTCAATCAGTAGACTCATAATGATTGAAAACAATGTTTTTGTTTGAGTTTGGGTTTGACCAATTCGTAAAAAAAAAAAACTAATTAAGACATGCGTGTCCGTCAACCTTAAACAATAATCTTTGTCAATTTTATTTTTCAGTCTTTATGATGGTCGATACTTGATCTATCTCTTACTGTTACATCCCCGGGCAACGCCGGGCTCTACTGCTAGTCTCTTATAAAAGTATATAACACAACCAAAGATAAACGTCTTCCAACCAAAAACTGCTGTCTCATCACCAATGAATGTTATTACACATTTAATAATAATTTTTATAAACAAAAGTTTGGATTACCAATGGGGTCACCTCTTAGTGGAGTGATGACATGTATTTTCTTCATCATTATCATCCTTTGTACCTACCCACTGTAATGGCATTCACCCGAGGTGGGTTGAGCCGGCTCCAATATTGGAGTTTCGTGGAAATTTGGAATTCACAAGCGGTCCCCAACCCGCATGTATAGCACATGAGATTTTGATTATAGTGATGAAGGTTTCGTGCAGGACCATCCACAGTTTTTAAAGGGCCGATTACAGAGACCTGGTGCACTACGTGCCACAAGGTCCCCAAACAATCCTCCTTTGACCTCCCTATAATTGGTTGGAATTCCACTGACAATTCCTTTCTGCACTGTTTGGTCCTGTATTGATGTCCCCAGATCCCCAATGTCTACGGTGTCTGGGAGAGTATTTTCTTAGAATTTCTCAAATATGGTCCTTTCCAAAATATTTTACCTAATCAATCAATCAAAACACACACACAAACACATATATAGTAATTTGTCAAGCCTAGAATAATCCTCAACAGAATGCAGAAAGCACTGGACGACCGTTTCGTCCTATCTGGGACTCATCAGCAGTGTGTATATACTACCAAGAATCGAACCCGGACCATTTTGATACAACGCAAATGTCATACCAATTGTACCACAGGCCTCGGTGACGAAGAAGACACACAAACTAAACTCGATATAGCGCCGCTACTCACTCAGTTCTGCAGCGATATTCATCCAAGTATTCAGATAACCTTGGAACAGTGCTCCAAGAGCCATGACTGTTTTTTCTTTTTTTTATATATATATATATATATTATATATATTATTCATACAAAAAACAAATACAAAGGTTAATGATTTAATTGGCAAGAAATCCATCTTCGTGAACAATTCAAATAATATACAAAAACCCCAAACCTGTTTATGCATGAAAAGATCCTTGTTTTATAAATTTCAGTTGCATAAGTTCTTATTATTTTTACAAGCTTTCGTCTGTTCCTACAGACATCCTCAGATATGGAATAGATTTTGTTCTTGTTTTTACTCTCAGTAATAAGAGGACTACGAAAATAGATGTATTGTAATCCGAAAAATGCTATGAGAAATATGTTATTGTTTTTGAGCGTGCAGTCGCAACGCTGAGTTTGAAAGTAAAAACAATAACAAAATCTATTCCATACCTGAGGATGTCTGTATCATTATATTCAAACTAATATCCTCATCTTTGTTGTTATTGGATGGCAGCCAGAGGGAACAATGACTGAAACATTGTCATAATGCTTTAGAATGAAAACAACTTAACAGTTATGTCTATGAAAGTAGTTCTGGGTATGATGATGAACTACATCTGGCAGCATGGCCTTTGGTTGGCATATTGGATGTTTTAAAGAGGGTGCAATCATATTTTAATTGCTGTTGTTCCCAGATACACCTTGAAATGGGGTGTTAGCACCAGTTAGGGTCCCAGCTATGAGCAAACAGTGACCCCCCCCTCCCACAAACAAAACTATGAAAGGATAAAAATACATTTTTATAGTAAAAATACCATCAATAAAGTTTTAGAAAAAGAAAAAAATGACCAACAATGACTATTTCTACACAGACCTCATATCAGCCATTAAGACATTTATCAAAAAAGAATGGCAGAGAATCTGGACTGGCTGCCCAAACAATTTATACATCAAACCTACTATAGAAAAATGACAACAAAAACTAAAACAAGATGAAGTAATAATGTCAAGACTTCATATCAAACACTCTATGATAACACATATTCTAAAACAAGAACCACCTTCAATCTATATGGCAGACCAAGAACTATACACAATAAAACACATACTAACAAACTGTAGTGACTTCATCCAAATCTGTTTAAAATACTACCAAATAATGAACATGACATTAATCCATAATATTAGGTTGGTGCAAAAAATAATGACGCAATGATGTCGTTTTTTGACGTTAAAAAATACGTCCAAAAACGACATTATTACGTCATTATTTTTGCACCAACCTAATATCTTAAAATTTCTTAAAGAAATCAAATGTCCTGGGTATGATGATAAATTACATCTGGCAGCAAGATTGGAAGATTAGAGGTTCTGAGGAGCTAGAAATCATCTCTTAATTGCTTAATAAAGAAAATATCTTTTGTCATCAACATTAAGAAGAATTTCAAAATTTAGAAGTTTCCAATTATAAGTATATTTAAAAAAAATATTCATTGTAAAATTATTTTTCATTGTCAAATTTGAAAGAAAATGTTTTATTAAATTATGGAAGCACCAACTCTCAACAAAAAATTGTTTTTTGAATTTTATTGAATTAAATTTTAAGATTTCAGGACAAACTTTCTGATTTTTTTTTTACTAAAATAATATATTTTTTTCTTTATAGAACTATAGAAAGAAATATTTGTCTCCGACCTTCCATTTTTAATGATCGTTGGGGTAACTGAGCCCCACCTCCCAACATTTCTACAAAGTTTTTTTTTTTTAAATCACCATATTCAATACATTCATGGGATTTTTTTTCTGTTAATTCTCCTCAAAATAAAAAAGAATTTATATTTACTAAAATTCACACCAATTCCGCCCAGAGCGAGGCCCTTTCATTGCACTCCGGTTGGGTTGACCTTTTCGAGTGTCTCAAATATGGGCGACTCGGGTTCGCTATTTCTAAGTGTGGGGTCTACGTTCGCGCCGACCCCGATAAACAAGCGTAAAACAGATTTTTTTTTCTTTTTGTTTTTAAATTGTAAAAAATTCCTTGTAAGTACCTGGAATATCATCCGCACTTAGAAAATATGAATAACTCCACGATTTTTGGTAATTTTTCATTTTGTGGGTTGGAGTTGTTATGAGGAATGTTAAACAAGTTTCGATTTAAAATTTAATTTCAAAAGAGTGCTAGAAATTTAAATAAAAAAAAAAACTTTGATTTAAAATTGATAATCTCTTGGAGGAATTAATATTTACGATAAGTAACTTTACATTATTTGGGGTGAATTAACAGGAAAGATTTCATTCATGAATAAGTGCTGAAAATTTAACTTTTTTCCCTTTTTTTTTGGTTTATTTTATTTTAAATCGGGGTTGCGTTTTTTTATTTTTGTTTTTATTTAGAAAAAAGGTACATAAGAACGTTTAAAAAGGTTTTAAAAGTTTATCGAAATGCGTAAAAATAAAATTATTTTTGATAAATTAGCTTTCCTTTCAAATAGAATTAAAATTTTACTGAAAATTAAGCATTTAATAATTATAAATGCGTTTTAAAACTTTTTTTTAGCTCAAAAAACCTACGCTGAGAAATTCGAAAAAGTACAGATTTATATTAAATTTTTACATATAATTAAAAAAAAAACGAACTTCTATACTAAAATTATTATTAGAAGTCATTTGAAATTTTGAATCTATATATTTTTGAACATACACTGTTTGGAAGATCAGGTAGAGCCACAGATTTTTGATGTTTTTTTTTTTTTTTTTTTTTTGTAAAAGGTTTCTATAAATCAGAGGAAACATTGATATTTAAACTTGAGTTTAAAACAACCGAAAAAAAGAAAAAATTTTGTTCATTTTTACTTTTTATTGATTTGTTTTCTTCAGGTGAGAAATTGATTTCGTTTGTCTTGCTCGGCATTCATTTGACAACGACGCACATCGCCCCAAAAAACAATATCAGCAAAACAGCTCACAGGCCAGAGATTCCATAAGGTTAGGCACACACCTGGCACCTTACTAAAATCACAGGTGAAATTAAATATTGTGTAAAAGAAGAAAAAAAAGATTAAAAAAATAAAACAAAACTTACGCGTAGAACAGTCACTGAAGATGACGATGTAGCAGACATCTTGAGACTGAAAACCGGTGTAAAAGTTCCCTCGCTTGAAAAAGTTCCAGCAGAAAAAATGTCCGCCTGGTAGTTTGATCACTATATTTTACAGTCGAGTAAACCCACTCATTTCCGCTGATATTATTTATTGTATGTAACAATACAAATATGGCACAAAGCCGAAAAATTGGGGATAGGGAAAGGTAGTTGTCATTGTTGTAACTAGTCACATTCACTGACCCAAAATTAGGTACCTCTACTGGTTTGGTATACGTAAAATGATTTTTTTAAAATGAAAAAGCTTTCTTGGAGCTTCACTTTAGCCTTTAATTCAAAGCTAAAGGATTTAAAATTTACTATTTCCAATAAGCAAAATACTCTGTGGTGTATTTCAAACAAATTATATTGATCGCAATCGATTTTTTTCAGTAATCAATCAAAACGGCCATTTTTGTCACATTTGTAAATCAAAGTTAATTCTTGGTTTTAAAAATCTTGCAAAAATAAAATATATATTTCCAAGACGTTATTTGAGGAAAATTAACAAATTTAAAGTTAAATTAATCTCATTTGAAACAGATATTACTTACTTATAGTATAAAATGTTGTATACAAACATTTATTAACTACGGGATCTTGCTTTTTAGACGTGACAGTCGATTTATTGACAGTCGAACGTGTTCAGAGTTAAGTATGGTGGAGCAGACGATGAACTTTATAGGGGGGGCAACCCTTAAAACCCTTTTGTTTAATATTTAACTTGTATTGAATATGTATATATATGTATATGTATGTATATATATATATATATATATATATATATATATATATATATATATATATATATATATTTATATATATATATATATATATATATAAATTGATTTAAATTAAAATTTAAAATCTTACTGTTCTTTTTTTTTATTTATATATTATATATATATATATATATATATATATATATATATATATATATATATATATATATATATATATATATATATATATATATATATATATATATATATATATATATATATATATATATATATATATATATATACACATATATATATATATACATATATATAATGCTAATGGTTTTTCAAAATTTTTGAACGCTCAGAAATATTTATCAGGTTACCTGAAATCATCAGAGAAGTTATGGGGGCGGGGGTGAGAAAATACAATTCAAAATCTAATAAACGAAAGTCAGTAAGTCATGTTTTGAAAATTTTTTTTGAGAAATTTTGTGCAAGTTGGTATTTGAATTAATTTAGTTAGAGATTAATTTATGTATTATCTATTTTGAAAATCATGAGGTCATGGGCTTAACTGCTTTCTTTCATTTTTTTAACATTTTTATAGTCATGTATCTTGGCATGGGAAAATAGTTCTTTCAGGAATGGAGATATAAAAAAACTGGAGCGCAGATTTATATTTGGGCAAAATTCAATAGCAGCACTTTCGAGGATTTTCCTTCTAAGTTACTTTCTCTTTTAAAAAGTGTGGCATTCTTTAGATCAAAGTTGTAGCTGAATTTGTTTCTATGTATAACTAACGCCTCTAAATTGTGTATAAGATCCTTTTTGTGTTCATAGATACACTTATATATTAGCCTCTAGTAATACGCCATCTTTTTTTGTTTTTTCATCAATTAATCATTCACTATTTTAAATTTGTTATATTTTACTTTGCACACTCCCGATTAAAAAAAAACCCCTAAAGAGCAGGGGCGAAACCGGTTGTTTTTCCTCTTTTATTTTTCATTATGCCTTATAATATTAAATTAGATGTCGTTAAAGCTACATATAGGTTACTATGGGTTAAATAGTAGTAATAATTTTTAGATAAAGTCCTATCCCCAACATTTGTTCATACAATATTCACTCGCTACATAAAAAAATTTCGGCCTTAAATTACGTACAAAAGGTTGATAAGCTGTAAAAAAAAAAATCAAGTATGTAAATATCTGTAATTCATTCATATTTATCGTACTTTACTGATTGTTTTGTCTGTATGTACTTTAATTATCTGTAAAAATTCATTCACATTTATTGTACATAAGTGGTCCGAAAGTCTTGTCACCCCTACCAAAAGGTAATGAGATCAATAAAAGAACAAGTAATACAGTAATGCAAAGCATATGTATTGGATTCAGTTTATTCACTTTCATAGACGCTGTCACACGTCGAGAAAGTCTGTATGAACACCATCATTTACGTGGCACCATGTCCTGTGTAATTTCATAGAGGAAATTACAAAACATTCTTCTAGGTAATCCATTGAAAGGATGATAAAAAGTGAGGGATCAGTTTTGTATTGTTCTTTAGTATTAAACAATTCCCCCATTTCTTGACCATAGTACAGGATGGTCTGAAAGACTTGTCATCAATTACCAAAAGTAATGAGAACAATAGAAGAACAAGTAATACAAAGTGCAGCGACTGCTATGCCTTTTCACGCCCACAATTTATTCGTCTGTGATTGGCTAGTAAATCAATGCTGCTTTTGTATAAGACACTTTAGCAATCGCAGTCATCACTTTGAATTTTTCGGTCGTGAACTTGCTTACATGTTTCTTTGATACACAATTAGTAATTGGTCAAATTTTAACCAATCAAACATTTTACTACTAAATCCTTTTTTCCCGCGTTTTCGCTCGTAGCCTACAGGTACCTTTAAATGAAGCGATTTCGCCACAAGCCGCCAGTAGAGTCCAACTATTTCACCTGTCCACACAAATCTACGACTTTACTCACAATATTTCAAACGCACACCCAGACACAGATTTTTGTAACACATTATACATATCTCTCTCTGTGACTCAGCCAAGTTCATGAACAAGAACTCTATTAATTTCTCAAAACAACATATTTCTTAATTAACTGTATTCTATTCTAACAGCAAACTCTATTCAACATAGAATCCTGAACATTTTTATTCAAGAGAAACTCTTTCGAACAATCAATCATAAATCAGAATACAGTTGAAGGGGAACAACTTTAATCCCCTTAAACATTACACTTCATTGAATGATTGTTTTCTATGTTATATTTCAATATATATATATATATATATATATATATATATATATATATATATATATATATATATATATATATAAAAAAAAGAATAAAGATATATAATCCGGTGTTCTTATAGGTATTTTTACTTTTACAAAATAGTGCTCGATGTAAATTTACAGAGCATTAATATTCGCTTGAGGATGAAATGGAACTAATGTCTTTAATTTAATTGCAAAATTAAATTCGTGGCTTTTAGCTTCCATTTTTGAAACATGGTTAGAACTGTGTAGCAGGAAAAATCATATTTTAAATCAATATATATATATATATATATATATATATATATATATATATATTTGTTGATCTACCTATGTAATTTCGTTGTTTTTTCTCGAATCGTTAAATGTACAATAGATATATGAGCTAAGAACACGCATCACAAAAGCACATGTATTGGATTCAGTTTATTCACCGACACTGACGCTATCACACATCGAGAAGGTCTGTATGAACAACGTGGCGCCATGTCCTGTGTAATTTCATAGATGAAATTACAAAACATTCTTCTAGGTAATCCAATGAAAGGATGATAGAAAGTGAGGGATCAGTTTTGTATTGTTCTTTAGTATTAAACAAATCCCCCATTTCTTGACCATAGTACAGGGTGGTCGGAAAGTCTTGTCACCCCATACCATAATGAGAACAATACAATACAAATCACATGTATTGAATTCAGTTTATCCACTTTCATTGACACTGTCACACATCATTTTCGTGGCACAAAATGATGCGGCGCCATGTTCTGTGTAATATTTTACGAAGCTGTGCTTTGTTGATTGTTGAGCAGTACTAAAAAAAATATGAACTAGACGAGCTATCCCTGGACACGGGAAGAGGTACAAGAACAATTAACCCCTGTAGATTAAATAAAGGGTTCAGTTTGGAATTCCCAGATCGAAATATATCGAAGGCCGGAAATGATGTAATAACACCAGTAAAGATGAGGACAATAGCCCAAATTTAAATAGCGTAAATATTGATAATTCCTCATCTCAGAAATTCAGACGTAAATCTACAGGGTGGTCCGAAAGTCTACTCACCCACACCAAAAAGTAATGAAAACAACAGAAGAACAATTAATACAATAATACAAAGCACATGTATTGAATTCAGTTTATCCACTTTCATTGACGCTGTCACACATCGAGAAGGTCTGTATGAACGCAAACATTTTCGTGGCACAAAATGATGCGGCGACATGTCCTATGTAATATTTTATGAAGCTGTACTTTGTTGATTGTTGCAAAGGCTCTCCGAACGGCGTCCTTTAACTGATGGGTATTCCGGTATCGTTCATGTGGGACTCTCTTCTTGATAATACCCACAGAGCGTTGAAATAGAAAATTATATTATGTAGGGGTGACAAGACTTTCGGAACACGGTGTACTATACTAATTGCTTTATATTAGTTTGGTTTGTTTATATAAACCTGTACACATTATGTACCAGTATTTCTTTTCTGCTTTGGCAAATTTAATTTAGTTTCTTTCGAAGGTTAAATTTACACTCTGTGATTTTGTAGAGGGCCGTGGCTGTGATGTTGTGAAGTCAGACGTAGAAGAAACGCATGTAAGGTTCAGATTCTCCTGCTCGCCTGGCCCAACTACATAAAAAGGTTGGACTTTGATTAAGTCCAAAGAAGAAGGCAAAGAAAGCAAACAAAACACAAGACCGATAATATATGTATATACAAATATATATTAATAACAAGTTACAATACATGGAAACAGTACAAAAGGACGAAGTGTGTGTGAATATTCTGTATGTGCGTGTGCGTGTGAATATTCTGTATGTGCGTGCGTGTGTGTGTGTATTGTGCTTAGCGTGTTTCCACGCTATCCCTTGTTAGCGCCTACATTTCGAGGTTGATAGCTGAAAGCCTGAGGAAAAGAGATTTACCTCAAGGTGTCGGCGCACAGGCCTGAGGGA